CATCTAACACGGATGGGGAAGGATATGGGACAGCCTCCAGGAAAGGCAGATATATATATATATATATGTGGTGCAATCAGATAGATATCCTATCAAATATCCGCACCCCTGCACACATGCTGTTACTCAGAATCACATCACGTGGATATCCTGTCTCCTAATCCAATGCAATGTTTGTAGGATTCCCCCGCCCCACCCACCATTTCTCAAGGGCAAAGAAACTATTGATAAGGACTGAATATCCTGGAACAATTCATTCTAAGAAGGATATACATCACAGACCATACCACAGATTTCCTAGTCTAACCATCAGTCACCAGGGAAAAAGCAATGGCAGTGTCAGTGATGAAAGGCTACAAAAAGAAAGGGACACAAAGCAGAGTTAAGGGAGACCCAGACCACACCAACATTCTTAAGCAACCTAACATTTAGCATCAAAACAAGCTTCCTTTGGTAAAGAATAAGGTCATGGGAATCACAGCCAATAACAAGCCTAACACTGAGATTTTATGTTCTCACAAACTGAATAATTACAACCCTCCACCTAACAGTAATATAAGAATGTGAAAAGCATAGTAACATTAGGGACATCAAGTAAACACATACTTTTTTTATAGGAAAAGATGGCTTTCTTACCTATTTCATCCACAACTTGAATCATTTTTTCTAGTTCTTCTGGACAGATATCAGGGCAATGAGTGAAACCAAAATAAATCAACACCCATTGACCCAGGTAGTCCTTATCAGTTTTGGGCTCGCCAGTATGAGTTGTGAGAGAAAATGGGCCCCCAAGTAAAGGCTTTCCGATGCTTCGCTGCCGTTCCTTCTCCAGCTCTTAAACACACACGAACACACACCGAAGGGGGGAAAAAAAAAAGTCAGTCTAACCACAGGTACTCAAATGCCTGATCTATGGTTCATTCTATACTACTGACTGAGGGCACAAAATGTGGAAGAAATAGCCTCAGTTTTCAAGAACTTAAAAAATCTTTTAAGAGAAATAAGCATAAAACAATAAAATCAAATCAAACGCTATTGTATATAATAAGGACTACAAGAAAAGAAAGTGGTAAAACTATTTTCTTCCTCCTCCAGAACAATTCATTCCTTAGCCATCAGGTGTGGCCACGATGGGGTGAGGGCACAGCAGAGCAGAATGTCTGAGCCCAAGTGGGCGAGGTGGGTGGCCTGGCAGTGGGTGTCTGAGCCTGAGTGTGCTGAGGAGGGCAGCTGTGTGAGGAGAGGACAGCAGCGATGGGAGCTCAGTTACATACAGGGGCTTGACCAAATAAGTAAATACATTAAAGAGCTACAGATGAAAAAGGAGTTAGAACGATGGAAGGAGAGAAAACTAGAATGAATGATGAAGTATTGGAAAGAAATGGGAGGTACAATACAAACTTATAGTTTCAATATATATAGATACAGAAATAAGTATAGATGTAAATAAGCACATCTCTCTCCTAGCTCTGTCCAGTGAAAAGACCCAGGGGCGGATAAACCCCAATAGCAATGAGCTCATATCCTGACTTCTAGTATCATCCTCCACTAAAAGGAAATGAGGCTTTTTAGAGAAACGGCTGATACCAGGACTGGGGCAGAGAAAGTACACGAACCTAGAACATCCTTTTGTGTCAGAATTAAGGAAGAACCCAAAGCACATAGGAGGCATGTCAAAAGGAAACAGAAGCCTGTGTCGAAGGGGCTCCCACTAACGCATCTGGGACAATGTGAGCGTCAAACCGAAGAGAATGATGGATTACAACTCACTGGCCTGCTAGGAAATCATGACTCACACTGATATAAATAAATGAATTGAGAGTTTGATGGGGAACAGAATATTTACATGTATAAATACATAATATTTACATGTGTAAATGTACATCACAAAATACACATTAATTACATTTCCAGTAGAGAAGCCTGACAGACACCACCTTAATCAAGTGATCAAACTGAACTTAAATCAGTAATGGGACAAACTGAAATCATATGACATCTGACTAAATGCAATGAGAACACAGCGTCCTGAATCTAACCATGAGAAAACATCAGACAAACCCAAACGAAGGGACAGTCTACAAAATAACTGGCCTGTAATCTTCCAAGCTGTCAAGGTCATGAGAGTCCGGTAAAGGCTGAAAAACTGTTACAAACTGAAGGAGACCAAAGAAAAAACTAGGTATGAGCTGTGGCTCTGAACTGGATCTTTCTGCTATAAAAGGAGGGCATCAGTTGGGACTTCCCTGGCAGTCCAGTGGTTAAGACTCTGTGTTTCTACTGTGGGGGGCATGGGTTCAATCCCTGGTTGGGGAACTAAGATCCCGCATGCCACAAGGCACAGCCAAAAAAATTAAAAATAAATAAAATAAAATAAAGGAGGGCATCAGTTGCACAACTTGAATGAGGTCTGAAGATTGAACGGTGTAACATATTGATGTTAATTTTCTGATTTTGATGGCTGCATTGTGGTTATGTTGGAGACTGTCCTTGTTTGTAGAAAATACACAATAAAGTATTTGGAGATGATGAGGCGTCATGTCAGCAAATACTCTCAAACAACTTAGGCACACATTTTTTTTTAAAAAAAGAAGATGGGGGTAGGAGTTTATTAATTAATTATTTTTTTTTGCCGTGTTGGGTCGTCGTTTCTGTGCGAGGGCTTTCTCTAGTTGTAGCAAGCGGGCGCCACTCTTCATCGCGGTGCGCAGGCCTCTCACTATCGCGGCCTCTCTTGTTGTGGAGCACAGGCTCCAGACGCACATGCTCAGTAGTTGTGGCTCACGGGCCTAGTTGCTCCACGGCATGTGGGATCTTCCCAGACCAGGGCTCGAACCCGTGTCCCCTGCGTTAGCAGGCAGATTCTCAACCACTGCACCACCAGGGAAGCCCCAAGGCACACTTTTAATACTGTTTCATAATACAAGCTTTTATAAAACAAAATTATTAACTGAAGGTGAAATTCCAAACTAAAGTCAAAAGAAGCTTGGCTTTTTCTACAATCATCTCTACCATTACTTTCCTAGTTTGTCAGGTTTGTTTCATTTTGAAATTGAAGGAACTTAACTGCTTATTAAAATATGAAAATCATATCAATAAAACACTGCTTGTTACACAAAAGAAATATACCTGTATATCAATATGGATCTTATATTCCTAAAGTTCTAAAGCCTATGAATTTTCACTCCCAGCTGTAAACATTATCCTTTGTATAATGTCATCAAGAGACTTTCTGAAGAATCAAAACAGAGTGATACTTTAAAGATTTACTGGAAACTTCTAAAACAAATCTTAAAGGTCCTGAAATATTCACTAAAATATAAAGTTCTTGTAAACAGTTTCTAAACACTTCGAGTGTTAGTCCAAAGCAGCTCCTTGCCGTGAAATTCCCTCTGGCCTGGCAGAACCTCATCTAGTGAATCCTTCACTTCTGTGTCTGTTTCACTGTCATGGGCGCCTCAGTGGCTGGACTGCACCTTAGTCATCTTTGCACCCTCTGGACTTCTTACTATCTACATCCAGATCTGGCCACAATAGGTCTTTTCACATGGTTAGACAGTGGTGCCCTGAACAGATAAGACAGTGGAAAAACAGGTGAAATCCAAATAAAGTTTGTAGTTTAGTGAACAGTACTGTATGAACTTTAATTTCTCACTTTTGATAAATTAGCCATAGCTATACAAGATATTAACATTAGGGGAAGAAAGGTGAAAGATACATGGAAACTGTCATTTTTACAACTCTTCTGTAAACCTAAAATTATTTCTAGATAAAAAGCTTAAAAACAACAATGACGAAAAGATGCCAGTCCGCAGCCAGGAAGGATTTTATTCCGCGCTGACCAGATGATTATCTACTTACTCTCTGTCTTTTCTTTCTTGAAGTATTTCATCCCAACCAGTAACACTCCTCCAACAGCAAATGTGATGGCTAAGGACTTCCAGGAAACAGGCTACTGGGGCAGAGATTTCAAAAATAAAAATACTAAAAAGATGAAAACATTTAATCACACTAAAGTTATTACAGTAGTTTTTAAGATACCTACACACAGGCCTCGATCTTGTTAAATGGACGGCATGTTTCACGTTACTTTGGGATGAGAAAATACTGAAAGTTTCTGGGGATGCAGTTGCATCTGGGCTCCTAACACAATTACAAAGGCACTTCTTTCCAAAGGAAGATTCCCTAAGTCGATTTCTTTTCATGTGGAAAAAAAGACCCAAGGCTCAAGCACCATGATTGTTACCACGTGTGACCCAGATCCCACCTGCTGATTTAATAACCAGTTAATTACCTGCTTGTGCTGATATTGAGAATACAAAGAAATAAACCAAATAAATTTAGGAGGTTAACCTAACTCTGGCTTCCAAAAGTAACAAAGCCCAAGTAGAAGACAGCTAAAAGTGGAACGTCTTGCAAACTGCATCATTATTTCTTTGTACTTTTTCCAAGTCCCAAGATAAAATAACTCATTAACCTTCCCCCAGCTCCGAAGACCACTTCTCTTGCCTATCACTAGAGCCTAGTGGCTCTTAAATTCTTTTGGGGTCAGAACTAGAAGCCGTGAGAAACCAAAGAAAAAAGGCATATCCAGCACGCCACTACGACCCACATGTGCTCAATTTCAGCATATACACACCAGGCCTCCGAAGGGAGAGCCAAGTGATAAATAATAAAAATGCTCTGACGCTTCAATCATGGGAAACTTAAGGTTGAGACCCCGCCCCCCACGCTTAGAACACCTGAAACTTATTTTCTTGGCGCAAAAGCTAACTAAAATCCAAGCCCGGGTATCTAACCACGAGGAGAGGGTGTCGGTTCTGAGGTTCTCTTTACCGTACGCTGAGGGTCCGTGCAAACCAGAGGAAAATGTGGGATGAGATTCTGTGACCCAGGGAGGTCAACCGGCGGAGTGGAGGACAACTTGAGGCCAAGTGGTTTCTGAGGTTATGACTAAGTGGGATGTTCGGAAGGTCGCGCAGGGTTGACTGGCGAGCAAAGGCAGGGCTCCAGGTGTGCACTCACCCGGGGCTGCGAGGGGCGCCTGGGGTCTCCGCCGCCCTTCGGCTCCGGTCCTGACGACCTGGGCGGGGGCTGCCTCGCCGTGCTGAAGAGCCGGCACCGCAGGCAGCTGCCAGCGAGCCCCGAGGCCCGCCACGCCTCCTCTGGCGGCGCGCGGAGCCGCCCCAGCATGACCTCCGCGGTCCCCTCCCCGGGGCCCCAAACCCCGAGGCCGCGAGGCCAGAGAGACCAAAGTTTGCTACTCGGAAGCCGCATTATCCGGCCGGGCGCGCGCAACAACCCCGCCATGGGCTCGAGAGACCGCGCTCCTTTGCCCCGCCCCTCGACTTCCGGCACCGTTTCCGCTTCCTCCGAAAGTGAGGGAGAGCCGCTCTTTCCGCTGCGCTCGATGGTGACGCGGTCGGCTAGCCGGTAGTCTGGGAACCCTTCGCTGCGGAGTCGGCGCGCGGTAGGTGGTTCCTCGCGGCTGGAGGCGGGGCGGGGTGGGCCGGGCTGGGCTAGGCCTACGCGGGCGGGCGGCAGGGCCCTCGGGAGCTGGCAGGGCCCGGAGAAGCGGGCCGCACCTGGGACTGGGCTGCGCGGCGGAGCTGGGTCGGGAGGCCTCAGTGCAGCTCAGGGGCCCGGCCTCCCCCACCGGGTTCTCCCAGCCTTGGAAAAGAGAAAACGGCGTCCGGAGACTGCCGGGACCGGGCAGCCCCCGTCCCCAGCCTGGAGGCCGGTCCTTGACCGCTTTACACCCCTAACGTGGAAGCGGACCCATTGCGCTTGAAATAATGTGCGACTTTTATTTTTTATTTTTTTTTGCGGTACGCGGGCCTCTCACTGTTGTGGCCTCTCCCGTTGCGGAGCACAGGCTCCGGACGCGCAGGCTCAGCGGCCATGGCTCACGGGCCCAGCCGCTCCGCGGCATGTGGGATCTTCCCCGACCGGGGCACGAACCAGGAAACAGGCTACTGGGGCAGAGATTTCAAAAATAAAAATACTAAAAAGATGAAAACATTTAATCACACTAAAGTTATTACAGTAGTTTTTAAGATACCTACACACAGGCCTCGATCTTGTTAAATGGACGGCATGTTTCACGTTACTTTGGGATGAGAAAATACTGAAAGTTTCTGGGGATGCAGTTGCATCTGGGCTCCTAACACAATTACAAAGGCACTTCTTTCCAAAGGAAGATTCCCTAAGTCGATTTCTTTTCATGTGGAAAAAAAGACCCAAGGCTCAAGCACCATGATTGTTACCACGTGTGACCCAGATCCCACCTGCTGATTTAATAACCAGTTAATTACCTGCTTGTGCTGATATTGAGAATACAAAGAAATAAACCAAATAAATTTAGGAGGTTAACCTAACTCTGGCTTCCAAAAGTAACAAAGCCCAAGTAGAAGACAGCTAAAAGTGGAACGTCTTGCAAACTGCATCATTATTTCTTTGTACTTTTTCCAAGTCCCAAGATAAAATAACTCATTAACCTTCCCCCAGCTCCGAAGACCACTTCTCTTGCCTATCACTAGAGCCTAGTGGCTCTTAAATTCTTTTGGGGTCAGAACTAGAAGCCGTGAGAAACCAAAGAAAAAAGGCATATCCAGCACGCCACTACGACCCACATGTGCTCAATTTCAGCATATACACACCAGGCCTCCGAAGGGAGAGCCAAGTGATAAATAATAAAAATGCTCTGACGCTTCAATCATGGGAAACTTAAGGTTGAGACCCCGCCCCCCACGCTTAGAACACCTGAAACTTATTTTCTTGGCGCAAAAGCTAACTAAAATCCAAGCCCGGGTATCTAACCACGAGGAGAGGGTGTCGGTTCTGAGGTTCTCTTTACCGTACGCTGAGGGTCCGTGCAAACCAGAGGAAAATGTGGGATGAGATTCTGTGACCCAGGGAGGTCAACCGGCGGAGTGGAGGACAACTTGAGGCCAAGTGGTTTCTGAGGTTATGACTAAGTGGGATGTTCGGAAGGTCGCGCAGGGTTGACTGGCGAGCAAAGGCAGGGCTCCAGGTGTGCACTCACCCGGGGCTGCGAGGGGCGCCTGGGGTCTCCGCCGCCCTTCGGCTCCGGTCCTGACGACCTGGGCGGGGGCTGCCTCGCCGTGCTGAAGAGCCGGCACCGCAGGCAGCTGCCAGCGAGCCCCGAGGCCCGCCACGCCTCCTCTGGCGGCGCGCGGAGCCGCCCCAGCATGACCTCCGCGGTCCCCTCCCCGGGGCCCCAAACCCCGAGGCCGCGAGGCCAGAGAGACCAAAGTTTGCTACTCGGAAGCCGCATTATCCGGCCGGGCGCGCGCAACAACCCCGCCATGGGCTCGAGAGACCGCGCTCCTTTGCCCCGCCCCTCGACTTCCGGCACCGTTTCCGCTTCCTCCGAAAGTGAGGGAGAGCCGCTCTTTCCGCTGCGCTCGATGGTGACGCGGTCGGCTAGCCGGTAGTCTGGGAACCCTTCGCTGCGGAGTCGGCGCGCGGTAGGTGGTTCCTCGCGGCTGGAGGCGGGGCGGGGTGGGCCGGGCTGGGCTAGGCCTACGCGGGCGGGCGGCAGGGCCCTCGGGAGCTGGCAGGGCCCGGAGAAGCGGGCCGCACCTGGGACTGGGCTGCGCGGCGGAGCTGGGTCGGGAGGCCTCAGTGCAGCTCAGGGGCCCGGCCTCCCCCACCGGGTTCTCCCAGCCTTGGAAAAGAGAAAACGGCGTCCGGAGACTGCCGGGACCGGGCAGCCCCCGTCCCCAGCCTGGAGGCCGGTCCTTGACCGCTTTACACCCCTAACGTGGAAGCGGACCCATTGCGCTTGAAATAATGTGCGACTTTTATTTTTTATTTTTTTTTGCGGTACGCGGGCCTCTCACTGTTGTGGCCTCTCCCGTTGCGTGACTTTTTAAACACATTTGCTGATTAGGATATTTGAGCGGTTAGGGTGGCAAGGACTAGTCAAGTATGACTGAACTGCCTGGGATTTATATACGCAGGGTATAAGGAACCTGAATAGAAATACCGGCACTGTACGGAGTGGTGTCTCTCCTGCGTCATGTCCCAGCCCTTGACTTGGGCTCCCTGGGCCCTAGGATTTCTACAAGCCTATATTTACATAAGCCCCCTGTTAACGAGGCGGAGAGCGTTCGTAGGTTGACTTTTCATTCCTTGCGAAAGTTTAACTCGCGTTCATTCTGTCTTGCCTTTGCTTTTGTCTCAGCATCTGCAGTCTTAATCTCTCTCCTCCCCGCCTCCGTGCAGATGTGCAAAATACAGAAAAAGGAGGAAAAAAAAAAAGCCTTCTAACGTTCTTAACTTTGGATCCCACTCCCGCGGGGCCTTTTTCAGGGCTTCCGCTGAGCAGAAGCATCCGGTGCCTGGTGATGGTGGCCCCGGGGTGGGGTATTTTTTATGAACTGGCATCATCAGCCAGTGTTCTCTGTTCGCCCACCAGGAAGTTTGTAGTAGTCTGTAATTACCTGTTTTTTGATTCCTGAATTGAGCTGGACTTCTCTGGAATATCAGCTCAAAGTAAATGTTCAGCACTTCAAATCATGTTTAATCAAACTGATTTTTCTGTCTTGAACTTGCCCATGATCTTCTCCCCCCACCCCCCACCTTATTTCTCTGTGTTTGTTTCTCCAGGGAGAAGGTAGTCCTCAAATTGACAAAAAGACACAAAAGTACCCTGCTTATTCAGGCAGTGAGTGTGTAAAATTATTGTTCACCTCTTTGCTCAGTTGTAGGTTAATTGATCAGACAGCCGTCAGATACATTAAAATTGAACTCAGGGTTTTTTTCCAGCTGGTCTGTTAACTTTTATTTTCCAGAGTGATTCTTTTAATAGCTGGACCCTTTATTTGTTTACCAAAGCATTTTTATACAACTTCTTCATATTAAATTTATAATGTTAAATAAAATACTAGCTTCTAAAACAGTCCCTGGCTGAGAGTAGGTGTTTTATAGCTGTACATTGGATGAATTGCTAACACCGCTGAGCCTGACTTCATGCACCTGTAAAACTTTAGTGTTAAAAGATACCTAAAACACTGTCTAGTGTAAACCTGTCAGAGGTTGTGAGAGGAAAATCAGAATGGTGTTGGTATTGCTAAGAGAGCTCACTGAAATGGAGCCGGGAGGCCCTTGAGGATGTGTGACTTAGGCATGTCTCAGCCTGGGTGGAATCTGACCTTTGACCATTTATTGTCCTAATGAAGTCATCCAGAACATGTGCTGGAAGCTCACGATACCTAGCGGACCCCTAGCCTGGAATAATCTGTGATTCCTTAAAGACAAATATTTCTTGACTTGTGTCAGAGTCAATCACAGTTCTCAACAGGCAGCTAACTCTGTGGCTTTTCGTATTTATGAGCCCCTGACTCTTTCTCTTCCCCAGAACACTCTGTTTTACCTGAATCTGTGTCTCCCAAATTGCAGTTCTTAAGACCCCAAATAAACTCATTTCTTACTTATAGCCTCCTGCATTTTTTGTTTGACACACTTTTATTACTCCTCTTAAACCACCAAGATCACAAATGAGTTTTTTCCCCCAATTTAGATACTTTCCTTGAATGAGACAGGATGTAGATATTATCATCTGATATTTGTTCTATCAATAGTGACAAGGCTGATAAATTTTGTGCTTGACATAACCTTAGGCTGTTTGACTAGGACAGCTAGGCCTAACTTCCCGGCCCTGTAGTTCACTTGCTTCATCTCAGGTGCAGATCTCCGCCCTGCGTGTCTAGCCACAAACATTTCCTGCCTCACCTTGCCTGTTATTGCTGTATCTAGCACAGTGAGTTTCAAGGCCATCCGCCCGCCCCCGCCACTTCTTTTTCCACAGCTACCTAGCCCACGTGGGTCTATGTATAAAAACTTGGCTAACGCATCCCTTCCCTGAGATGCTTCTGGCTTAGGCTTTGAGCATCTCTTTATTGCAGTAGTTCCCCTTAACGGTCTCTGCTTAGTAAAGTCTAGGCTTGTCACATTTTTTTCCTTTGACAGTAGTTTGAAGGGCTGTCTTTCTTCACAGCCTCACCATAGATTCTTGAGGGCTTTCTACAAGGACCTTCAGCCTTCTGCCAGTCCTAATTATCATAGAAGTTTTTTATATCATCTTGTAGCAAGTTTTCAGCAAGTAAGCATCCCTGGGCATTTCCTTCTATTCCTGAAAATCATTGGTGCCTAAGGTGGTTTTCGCAGAATGCTGACTGCTTATCCTGCACCATGAATTTTTGTAGGACTTTTTTTGAGGAAATCTTGTGAAGTTTTCTGCATTATTCTGGTCTATAAAAAGTTGGGGTAGTTTCATTTATCTT